GTTCCAACTCATAGCGACCCTGTACAGGGTTTCTGAGGCTGTAAATCTTTACGGGAGCAGAAAGCCTCATCTTTCTCCTGCGGAACAGCTGGTGGTTTCAAACTGTTGACCTTGAGGTTCGCAGCCCGATTTGTAACCATTACACTACCAGAGTTCCTTTTATTTGCATTAGCAGTATGTCAATTTTTACATCTACGTTATTATCCTTTTGAAATTAGTTCAAAATATACTTTTCTTGTTTCAGCATGAAGGTACTTAGCACTGAAATTTGTCTTTGATTGAAAATTTGGCAATATTTCATATGTTTACATACCTATTTTTTTAACTTAATTTTGCATGCAAATACTTGCTTTGGAGATATTTGTTAGTTGACTTTTTAATATCTCTGTTTGTTTATGCATACCTGTTATAAATATCCCCATACTCTCATAAATATTAGGGAACATTATAGTTTGTATGATTATTTGATCATTTGTTATTTTTATATAAATTTTAATTTTATATAAATTGATTATACAGCTTTCCACTTTATAGATCAAATTTAATAAAGCTTTCTAGTTTGGGTTTTCTTTTGGGAGAGGTGGTTCATATGCTGGAAATAGGTTTTTGAACCATATTCTTCTTTTAGAAGAAAAATAAGTTTTCTGTATTATAAAAATGTATAAGATTATAGTAAAAATAAGAACTATTTTTAAAATCAACTAAATTGCTCCTAGTAATATTACTAAGGTCCTTAAAAATAATATAAATGTTTTAAGTTCTCCAACACTGTTGTATTTATTTTAATATATTTTTATATTTTGAATAGTTTTCTTATTATTTTTGGCTTTCTTTGTTTCAATATTCTTAACAACATAGTTGATAATAATTTTGAATATTATAAATATCAAAAGGAACTCTGGTGGTGCAGTGTGTTAGTTATTGAACTGCTAACTGAAATGTTGATGATTGTGAGCAAGATGAGACTGTCTGATTCCATAAAGATTTATAGTTCGTGAGCTCCAAAGAAGTGGTTCTACTATGCCCTTTAGGATCTGAATCAACTTAAGGGAAGTGGGTTTGGGATTTATCAATATCAAGTGTTTTTTCTTAATTATATAATTACTCAATTTTTTTTTACCATTTTTTCCTTGTCTACTTTTTGTAATGTAAGACTTATTTTTCTTCTATTTATATGTATATAATATGTTTGTTCTGAGCTTTTACTTTTAACTTTATTGTGATACATTTTTTTTTTTACAGATGTTATTTAAATGCTATGTAATAGAATATTTAACCTGAGGACAATTGAAAAACATGCATTCCATTGTTAATAATATGAATGAAAATAAGACACCTTTCTCCCTTATGTATTATTATATTGTCTTAACACATATGAAATGAATATAATGAGCACTTTAAATACTACTGTTTACTTAACAACTCTGTAAGTTCAATAAATTTATACATTTTCCTCATAAAAGTAATTAAATCATAATATATTGTGTTAAACCTTCTCTATTTTCACAAATAAAAACAATATTAGTGCTGGAAAAGTAACAAAGAATATAAAACACATGAAAACAAAATTCTTTTTGCAACTTTAGACATCTTTCTATCTAAAACAAATTTAAAATGGCATTAAAGCTTAAGATGTTGGAAAAAAAATACTATCACAGTGTTCGGTGGCATTGATCAATATTTGAAGTTTGATTTTAAAGCCTATCCTCCACATTATTTCTGTCCTTTTTGACATATTTCCTTTTCTATTTTTTATGCTGAAATTCAACTATTACCTCCCTTTCGAGTACATTATTTTAAAGTGCTGCATTTTGCAAGTTAGGAACTTATCAGAGTGATGAATTACTATGAATCTGTTTAAAGATATAAATATATTTTAATCAGTTTTAGTCCAAATATATTATTTACTTTAATGCTGTTTCCTCCCTCAAGTTTAAAATAAATTAAAATGTACTCATCAAGGTTCAAATCCTCTAAGTATTTTGTTAGTGATGTGCCTTACCCAAAGCCACATGTTTTCATCACTTATATGCTGATATTAGTAATGGAAAACATTGAAATGTTAAAGAGGATGTTTTCCTCTCACCAATAAACAAGTCAATATGAGATAAGAAACAAATGAAAGGAGGAAGTGGAAGAGAAGGAAGAGAAAACCTCCTTATCTTGGTTTTTAGTTTATTTCATGACAATCAAAAATGCTACCTTTTAAAATAATGTATTCACATCCTGTGAATTCTATTAGATAGTAACTAAATGTTTTCTGTCTTCCTATCTCAATTAACAAAAGTAGTACTTCTAAAGGAAATAATATTCTGGTTAAAATATTTTAATATATCAAATTATATAGACTTTTGATGATGATGCATGAAGAAGCAAAGTTCCACTTACCTGAATCCGTGGACTTGGAACCTTTCTATACAGAGCGGAAAAAATAAGATTTAGGAACTTTTCTCTAAATATTGTTATGATCTAAATGCTAAATTATCAATAATTTATTTGCTATTAAAAACTTTGTTCTTTCTGAACTTATATAAGTAACATTTAAAAAGAATTTAATTATCATAGAAAGCTAAAAAGCAGATCATTTGATATATTTGACATCTTTTTTCCATATCTGTACATTCTCACTATTTATAAAAGTTCTGTTATTCAAACAAAAATTATAGTCATTGACCTTTAAAAGTCATTTTCATATAAAACTGGAACATATTTTTTTCTATAACTTCTCAGATATTTAACCAATGCCCACACAGCATGAACATTTTATATCTAAGTATATCCTAAATTGCAGAGTATATTTCAAAGGCTATACAAATGAAAATTTTTATTTGCATATACACATCAAACAAATCATGAAATAATCTACTTCAAATCAGTGTCTCATAAATTGATTACTGACTTCGAAGATATCTAACTGAAAAATATCCATTGAAAAAATTAAAAAGCATCAGTTCCTAATTTTAGGACACTTGAAATCACTTAAAACTTTTATTCTAACTCAATGACTATACTCAACATCTTGAATGCTCAAAAGGAAAAAGGACCCAGAATATAAAATTTCCTGTTGACATTAACAATGTCAACTGTCTTATGGCCTTTTCATATTTGTCTCTACTAAAGACATAGATATATGATGTTATAAAAGTTTGCAATTTAAGAGTTTCTATTGCTCAAATTTTTATACCTAAATATAATGCATTAATAAATCAGGATTATAAGATCTTATAATACAAAGATTTTTTATTCATTACTTCAAGCTACTTCTGAAATAAATATTTCTATCACCTGACATACACATGTACTTTGCAAACACCATGAAAGAACACTAGTCTTATCATTTATCTTGATAAATAACTAGATATTTCTGTACAGTAAAATATATTGGAGTGAGTATGGAAAATCTGTATAGAATGCCATTTGTTAAAGTATGCTTAAGCATTAATAGGCATTCATATAGATGTATTCTGATCAAAATTAATAGTGAATATAAATATATGTACAAATGAAATGCATCAAATGGTATTTTTGATGACCTTGTGGTAAGCAGTCCAGAGCTTATACTACAGCACCACACCAGGACTCCAATATAATGTACTTTAATATAATGTAACATTATACAATATGTAAAACCAATTTTGTACTTTATACATTGTAGTACTGTAGGATAAGCTGACTTGCTGTCATGTAACAACAACAATGCCATATGTGTTTTATAATTTATATATAATGTGCATATGTCATGCATATATTTATAAGGTATATAGCATTTTTTAAAATTAAAATCTATCCAGGTACAGAAAGAAGCTAATAATAATGAAGACTAAAAAACTGCTATATAGTATAGTTGGAGAAAATGGTATCTGTAATCAAATTTATTTTTCAATTAATGTAAACAGAGATTAAAGTTTAGATTAATACAGCTTACTCCATGTTTTACAGGAAATATTGATGAAGCAGAACAAGAATGGAAAGTAGGATTTCATCGCTGGAACAATTACATGATGGACTGGAAAAATCAATTTAACGATTACACTAGCAAGAAAGAAAGCTGTGCAGGTCTCTAATTAATAGATTTACCCTTTATAGAACTTGCATTTTCCTGTAGATCAAGGCAAAAGTATCAGAAGCTTTCTTATATACCTAGTAAGAAAGCTATTATATAGCTGAAACAAAAATGCCAGGAGGATAATATCGATTCCTCATATCTTTCACTTAGTATTTTATCTAGCATTTCAAAACCCAAATGACTAGAATATATTTAATTAAATTTCACAGTATAAAGTTTTACAATTAATTATATGCTTTTTAAATGATTTGCTGCTTCAAACTCTCTCTTCCCAGGACAATTTAAATTGTTTTTTCCATAATAAATATCTTATTTGTGTTCCGCTTTTAGTCATATATGTATTTTATTACCACTTATGGGAAGTATGTGCGGGTTAATGCCCTGGACCGCATGATAGGTTTGAACCACATGATTATAGGTTCAAGTTTACCAGACCAAATGGCATATGTTGTTGTTCTGTGCTGTGGAGTCAGTTCCGACTCATAGCTACCAGTACAGGGTTTCTAAGGCTATAAATCTTTACGGCAGCAGAACGCCTCATCTTTCTCCCGTGGAACAGCTGGTAGTTTCAAACTGCTGACCCTGAGGTTAGCCTGATTCTTAACCACTACACTAACAGAGCTACTTGGCATATGTTGTTGTTGTTAGGGGCCATTGAGTTGGTACCAACCCATAGCGAATTTATGCACAGCAGAAAAAAACACTGCCCAATCCTGGGCCAACCTCACTACTGTTGCCACGCTTTAGTCCATCTATGCTGCCATTTGGCCAATCCATCTCATCGGGCGGTCTTCCTCTTTTTCTCTGACCCTCCACCTTTCCTTCTCCAGCGACTGGTCCCTCCTAACAATATGTCCAAAGTATGAGAGACAAAGTTCGGCCATCTTGGCCTCTAAGGAGCACTCTGGCTGCACTTCTTCCAAAACGGATTTATTGGTTCTTCTGGCAGCCCATGGCACTTTTAGTATTCTCCTCCAACACCATAACTCAAAAGCATCAATTATTCTGTCTTCCTTATTCACTGTCTAGCTTTCGCATGCATATGAGGCTATTGAAAATACCATGACTTGGGTCAGGCGCACCTTAGTCTTCAAGCTGACATCTTTGCTCTTCAACACTTTTAAAAGGTCTTGTGCAGCAGATTTGCAGAGTGCAATACGTTGTTTGATCTCTTGACTGCTGCTTCCATGAGTGTTGAGAGTTTATCCAAGGAGAATGAAGTCCTTGGCAACTTCAATCTTCTCTCCATTGATAAGAATGTTGTTTATTGGTCCAGTGGTGAGAATTTTTGTTTTCTTTACGTTGAGATGTAATCCAAACAGAAGGCTGTGTTCTCTGATCTTCATCAGTAAATGTTTTAAGACCTCTTCACTTTCAGCAATCAAGGTTGTATCATCTGCATATTGCACGTTGTTAATGAGTCTTCCTCCAATCCTGATGCCAGGTTTTTCTTCATAGAACCCAGGTTCTCTGATCATTTGCTCAGCATACAAGTTGAATAAGTATGGTGAAAGAATATAATCTTGTTGCACACCTTTCTGAATTTTAAACCATTCAGTGTTCCCATGTTCCGTACAAACAACTGTCTCTTGGCCCAGATACATGTTCCTCCTGAGCACAATTAAGTGTTCCGGAATACTCATACTTCACAATGTTGTCCATAGCTTGTCATGATCCACACAATCGAAAGCCTTTGCCTAGTCAATAAAGCACTGGCAAACATCTTCATGATATTCTTTGCTTTCAGCCAAGATCCATCAGACATCAGCAATGATATCCCTCATTACACGGCCTCATCTGTATCCAGCTTGAACCTCTGTAAGTTCTCTGTCAATGTATGCTTGCATCTGTTTCTGTATTACCTTTAGTCAAATTTTACTCGCATGGGATATCAAAGAGATTGTCCGATGATTTCTGCTTTCCATTCCACCTCTCTTTGGAATGGGCACAAATATGGATCTCTTCCAGTCAGTCAGTCAAATAGTCATCTTCCAAATTTCTTGGCAGAGATGAGTGAGTGCCTCCTGTGCCGCCTCACTTTCTTGAAAGATTTCAATTTATATTCCACCAATTCCTGGTGCCTTGTTCTTTGCCAATTCCTTCAATGCACCTTAGACTTCTTCCTTC